AGGATTATGGAGAATTGGCACAAATTTAGTGTTTGGTAGTTCATTGGGTTTAATTTACAATGCGGATACTAGCTTGATTCATTATTTTTCCTATGATTTAAAGTTTCTTTCTGAAAATCATTCTATTTCTGTATCCGGTACAGTTCTTGATGTGAAGTAGTATTTCGTATTTGACTTCCTCATTTACTATTTCTGCCTATTATCTTTTGCACATTAGTGTTATGTCGGTAGCTAAGGATGAAGATCCTGAGACTTTGGCCCTACCACTACATGCTGTCACTCCCGTAATTCCAGCTCCATCTCTGCCAGATGTGCAAATTTCAACAGCCCCTGTTCAATTGCTGACTCCACTCCCATCAACAGAAGGAAGTAGCTCAACAATCTCCATCACTGAAACAGAGACCGCTGACCGAAACATCTCTGAAGGAGAGATCCTCATAAACTATGGGCAAATGGCCGCAGCAAAAGGTAGAGCTACACCAGACTACTTAATTAACTAATGAATAAATACTTATTTTCTGTCCTGGCTCTAAGGCCCTTAGGTATGGGCTATTTCACGCAATTCTTAATGATAGCAGGTACACGGCCTAAAACTGCCCACAGTTAAGAATAAATTCCCCTAAGTTAACAAACAGTGGAAAAAAAAAGACATTATAGCAAAGTCTTGCTCGTGTGTCTACTGCATTTATATGGCTGGTCCAGTTCAATTTAGGGTAGCCACCAGAATGTAAGTGGTGGAAGATTCAACAATGGTAATGCCATTGAATGTGAAGGGGAGATAGTTAGATTTCTCTTGTTGGACATTGATATTATCTGGCACTAGTGTGACATGAATGTTACTTGCCACTTTTCAGCCCAAGCATGAGCTGGTTCTTGCTGCGTATTGGCACAGACTGCTTCAGTATCAGAGGAGTTGCAAATGGTACTGAATATTGTGCAGCCATCGGCTCTACTTCTGACTTGATGGTGGAAGAATGACATTAATGAAGGAGCTGAAGATGGTTAGGCTGAGGTCATTCCCCTGAAAAACTCCTACAGTAATGGCCAGGAACTAAGACAAACAACTGTAACCATCTCCATTTCCAGATAGATATAAATTGTGACCAGGAGTGGAATCTGTCTACCTTTGCCTTTAAAATATTAAAGGTCTCTACTTCCATCACTTTTTCAGGAACCGAGTTCCAATGTCACATGACCCTCTGACAGAAAACTTTTGACCTAAGCTCTGCTTTAAATGGCCACCTTGATTTTTAAACATAGAACATAGAACATTACAGCGCAGTACAGGCCCTTCAGCCCTCGATGTTGCGCCAACCTGTGAAACCAATCTGAAGCCCATCTAACCTAAACTATTCCATTATCATCCATATGTTTATCCAATGACCATTTAAATGCCCTTAAAGTGGGCGAGTCTACTATTTTTGCAGGCAGGGCATTCCACGCCCTTACTACTCTCTGAGTAAAGAACCTACCTCTGACATCTGTCCTATATCTATCACCCCTCAATTTAAAGCTATGTCCCCTCGTGCTAGCCATCACCATCCGAGGAAAAAGGCTCCCACTGTCCACCCTATCTAATCCTCTGATCATCTTGTATGTCTCTATCAAGTCACCTCTTAACCTTCTTCTCTCTAACGAAAACAACCTCAAGACCCTCAGCCTTTCCTCATAAGACCTTCCCTCCATACCAGGCAACATCCTGGTAAATCTCCTCTGCACCCTTTCCAATGCTTCCACATCCTTCCTATAATGCGGTGACCAGAACTGTACGCAATACTCCAAGTGCGGCCGCACCAGAGTTTTGTACAGCTGCAACATGACCTCATGGCTCCGAAACTCAATCCCTCTACCAATAAAACCTAACATACTGTACGCCATCTTAACAACGCTATCAACCTGGGTGGCAACTTTCAGTGATCTGTGCACATGGACACCGAGATCTTTCTGCTCATCCATACTACCAAGAATCTTACCATTAGCCCAGTACTCTGTATTCCTGTTACTCCTTCCAAAGTGAATCACCTCACACTTTTCCGCATTAAACTCCATTTGCCACCTCTCAGCCCAGCTCTGCAGCTTATCTATGTCCCTCTGTAACCTACAACATCCTTCCGCACTATCCACAACTCCACCGACTTTGGTGTCATCCGCAAATTTACTAACACATCCTTCTACGCCCTCATCCAGGTCATTCATAAAAATGACAAACAGCAGTGGCCCCAAAACAGATCCTTGAGGTACACCACTAGTAACTGAACTCCAGGATGAACATTTCCCATCAACCACCACCCTCTGTCTTCTTACAGCTAGCCAATTTCTGATCCAAACCGCTAAATCACCCTCAATCCCATGCCTCCGTATTTTCTGCAATAGCCTACCATGGGGAACCTTATCAAACGCTTTATTGAAATCCAAATACACCACATCAACCGCTTTACCCTCATCCACCTGTTTGGTCACCTTCTCGAAGAACTCAATAAGGTTTGTGAGGCATGACCTACCCTTCACAAAACCGTGTTGACTATCCCTAATCAAATTATTCCTTTCTAGATGATTATAAATCCTATCTCTTATAATCTTTCCAACACTTTACCCACAACTGAAGTAAGGCTCACTGGTCTATAATTACCTACTCCCCTTCTTGAACAAGGGGACAACATTTGCTAGTCTCCAGTCTTCTGGCACTATTCCTGAAGACAATGACGACGTAAAGATCAAAGCCAAAGGCTCTGCAATCTCCTCTCTAGCTTCCCAGAGAATCCTAGGATAAATCCCATCCGGCCCAGGGGACTTATCTATTTTCACACCTTCCAGAATTGCTAACACCTCCTCCTTATGAACCTCAATCCCGTCTAGTCTAATAGACTGTATCTCAGTATTCTCCTCGACTACATTGTCATTTTCCTGCGTGAATACTGACGAAAAATATTCATTTAGCACCTCTCCTATCTCTTCGGACTCCACGCACAACTTCCCAATACTGTCCTTGACCGGCCCCATTGACCTCTAGTTCTAGATTCTTACATAAGAGGAAGCATCTTCACCACCTCTACCCTGTAAACAATATTTCAATTAAGCTACATCTTACTCTTCTAAACTCTAGAAGATTCAAGCTTAGCCTTGCCAACCTTTCCTCATAAGACAGCCCACCCTCCCTCTGTTACATTTATATCCTTCCTTAATTAAGGTGACCAATGTTGTGCATAGTACTCCAGATTCATTGTCACCATGTCCTGTATAACTGAAGCATAATCTCCATACTTTTGTATTCAGTTTCCCTTGCAATTGTTGATAACATCGTATTTGCCTTCTTTACTACTTGTTGTACCTGCAAACTAACCTTTAGTAATTCATGCATTCAGAAAGTCAGGTCACTTTGCATCTCAGAACTCTGCAATCTCTCACCATTTTTTCTTCTTGCTGGTAGGATGGACAATTTCCCGTTTTCCAATGTTATCCTCTATCTGCCACGTCTCTGCCCACTCACATAATATATATGTCTTTTTGTAACTTCCTTATGTTCTCTTCACAACATACTTTCCTGCCTATATTTGTATTATCAGCAGACTTGCAAACCTAACTCTTTACCTTCATCAAAGTCATTCATATAAGTTGTAAATGGCTGAGGTCCTACTGTGAATTACGTCTTGCCAATCTAAAATGGACCCAATTATACCTATTCTCTGCTTCCTGTTAGCCAACAAGTCCTCTGTCCAAGCTAAAATGCTACCCCCTGCTTCATGAACTATTATTTTCTGCTTTGACATGGCATCTTGTCAAATGCCTTCTGGAAATCTAAATATAGTACATCCACCAGTTCCTCTTTCTCTATAGCACATGTTTCTCGAAGTACTTTAATAGATTGATCAAACATGATTTCTTTTACTCAAAACCGTACTCACTCTATGTGATTACCTCGAGCTTTTCCAATGTGTAACTGCTTAATATTAGCTTTGATCATGTTTCCTATGACAGATGTTAAGCTAACTGGCTTCCACATTTCTGCCTCCTTCACTTTTTGAATAAAGGAGTTCTATTCGTTGTCTTTGAATCTAATGGGGCTATCCTTAATTCAAAAGGGTTTTGGAAAATCAAACCATTGCATCAACTATCTTGTTAACCACGTCTTTGAAGATCCAAGAATGATGTCCATCTGGACTTGGGTACTTGTCAGCCTGTATCTCCAACAATTCACTCACAGCCACATTGAGTGATTGTGATTTGGCTGAGTTCATCCTTCCCTTCCATTTCCTGATTTATTGTTGCTTCTGAGATGTTACTTTTGAAGACTGGTACAAAACACCTGTTCGATTTGTCTACCATTTCCTTATTTTCCATTATTCACTCTATAATGTCACTTCATGTAACAGCAACATCCACTTTGTCAACTCTTTTCTTTAAATAGAAGTTCTTACTATCTGTTTTATAGTGCTGGCAGCTTTTGCCCATACTATAATTTTTCCTCTTTATTTTTTGGTCATTTTTTTTCTTTTTACAATATTCAGTCCAATAATCTGACCTGGCACTTGTGTTTGCACAATGATATGCTTTTGCTTTAAGTTTGACACTATCTTTAACATTACTAGCTAACCATGGATAGTGGATCGGTTCTTTGGAATTTTTCTTACTTGGGATGTGTCTCCTCTTTATACTCTGAACTATCTTCTTAAATGTCTGCCATTGAATCTCTGTTGACCTAACCTTTAAACTAATTTGCCAATTCACCTAAGCCAGCTCTGCATTCATGCCCACGCAATTGTCCTTATTTAACTTTTGCAAAGTGCCTCTGACCCATTCCACTCTCTTTCAAGTTAAATGGAAAATTTCATCATATTATGGTCACTGCTATCTAGGGATGCCTTCACTATGAGATCATTAACTAATCTTATCTCATTAAACGAAACTAGGACTGGTATAGCCTGCTGTCTGGTTGGGTCCCATTGAAATTATCCCCCCCCACCAACCGAAAAATTCCTGTCTTAAGCTACCTTTGCCTGTCTAAGTTTTCCAGCCAATATGTAAATTAAATTGTCCCATGATTATCACTGTACCTTTTTGGCAAGTTCTCATTATTTCTTTGCTTATACTCCACCTACTGTGTTGCGACTGTTAGGGAGCCTTTACACCATACCCACAAGTGATTTCTCACCTTTATCATATCTGATTTCTACCCAACCTAATTCCTTATCTTGGTTTCCTGAACTGAGATCATCCTTCTCAATTGTATCAATACCACCATTAGCCAACAGAGTCATTCCTTTACAGTTTTCTATATTCCTGTCAGTTCTAAATGTCCTGTACCCTTTAGATTCAGGTCCCAATCCATGACATTCTGCAGCAATGTCTCTGTAATGGAGTTAGCAAGAACTTCAGCTATAGCATATTTCAGGTGGAAACCATCCCATCAGTACAGATCCAACTTTCCTAGTTACTGGTGCCATGCTTCACAAACTAGAACCCAGTTCTCCCACACAATCCTTTGAGCCCCACAGTCATCTCTCTATTCTGATTTGTCTTGTTGATTTGCCAATCATGTAATAATGCAAAAATTATGACCTTTCACGTTCCGCTTTTTAATTTGTCACCTAGTTCCACAGACTGACTATGCAGACCCTTTTTTTTGCCTCTAGAGCATAGTGACTCTATTCTCCCCCTCCCACTCAAGTTCCTGTCCAGCTCTGAGCAGACATTCCAATCTCTGGCACCAGGCACATAACACAGGCATCTGGACTCATGCCAAACACTCTCACTACACTGTTCCCAACTACCAACTGCATTACGACTTGGTTTCCCCCCTCCTGAGTCACTTGTATTCAACTTCATATTTCGTTATATGTTTACATATTTAACTAACCTTATCAACTATTTTGAACCTTAAGAATATAATAACTCTTAATCACTTACGACTTACCACTTATGATGTTGGCCTTTGGTTGCACACAAACAGCTTAGCTTGATATTTCTGGTAGTCTTCAGCTCTATTGTCGGGATGTTGTCAGGGTCCAAAACCTTTGGTGTATCTAATATCTTCAGCATTTCTGATAACACTTTCAGGTGTGTTATTGCTTATACAGTATGTATTTTGCTTTTCAGCATTAATCGAAGAAGGTATCTACTTTCCAAACTTCAATGTTAGTCTGTCTAGTACACTCCAGGATGCTCAAGAAATGGTAAGTTTATTAAAAATACAGCTTTGCAAACTCATTCAATAAAATCTTTGCATTCAATTCACTGCCATCCCTGGTTTTGAATATTTTGAGCTGTGTTTCATTTGTGTTTTGTTGCTAAAACTGGAGTTTTATAATTGAATGTATTTTGTATGTGATAATGATAATTCTTAATTCTAATTATATAATTATAGTTTATACCAAAGCATTTCCCAAAAAGACCAAGTTTATTTGATTGCAGTAACTCTACTGTCTTTCTGAAGAAATTAAGTAGTTAGTTAAATGTCATTGATCAAGTTTGAATCTTTGAGTGCAGAGTTCAGTGCTTGCTGGCCCTGGGGTTTCCCCCTCACCTCGGTTGCCAGAATGATTCATGTGTAGAATTACAGAATGTCATATCTGCGCCATCTCTGTGCAAGAACAACTTAACTAGAACCTCCCTCCTCAGTCTTTTCCCTGCAGCACAACAATTTATTTTCAGTTTAAAAAATTATTCAATTCACTTTTGAAAACCAAAATATAATCTGTCTTCACCATAGATTCAGTAATGCATTGCAGATCCTACCCATTCGTACAAAATAGTTTTCCTTAAGTCACCTTGGTTCTTGCACCAGTCATCTTAAATCAGTGTCCTCCGGATCTTGGTCTTTTTTCTCCCTAAGTACTGTCTCTCCATAATTTTGAGCACTTTTCTTAAGTCACCTTTCAACTATTCTTCTCTAAGAAGATCAGCCCCAGCTTCTTCAATCTATCAGTATAACTGAAGTTCTTTGTCTCTGGAGTGATTTTCATAAATCTTTTACACATTCCCTTCAATGTCTTTATGTTATTATTAAAATGCATTGCCCAGAATTGGACACAATATTGCAGTTGAGACCAAGCCAGTATTTTGTAAAGGTTCACCATAACTTCCTTGCTTTTGGAGTTTTATGCCTTTATCTCTAAAGCCCAAAATTTTATAGACCTTAATAATTACTCTTTCAACTTGCACTGACACCTTCAATGTTATGTGTATATATCCACAGGTCCCTCTGTTCCTGCCCCTTATAGAATTGTATCCTTTATTTTATATTGCATCTTCTCATTCTTCTTATAAAAATGCATAAAGTTATATTATATTTCACCTGCCACGTGTCTGCTTATTTCACCAGACTGTTTATCTCTGCCACCGTAATAGTTCACAATATGTCCAAGTTATATATCATGTACAAATTTTAAGATCGTACCCTGCATGCCCAAATCAACGCTATTAATGTAGATCAAGAATAACAGGTTTCTTAACACCAACCTTTGGGGAATGGCACTATATACCTTCCTTCAGTCTTAAAAAAACATTTACCACTACTCGCTGTTTCGTGTCGCTCAGTCAACTTTGTACACATGCTCCCACTGCCCACTTTGTATCATGAGCTTTAAACTTGCTTATGACTCTGTTATGATTTGGAAATCTTTATACACTCCATCAACTGCATCACCCTCTTAAACCTCATTAAAAAACTTAAGGAACTTAAGCCTTGAACAGATTGTACTAGCTTTCATTAATTAATCTGTATTTGCCTAAGTCACTTAATTCTGCCCTAGATTATCATTTCTAAAAACTTCTTCACCTCTAAGATTAATCTGACTGGACTACAGTAAATGTGCTCATTGTAAGAACATAAGTAGGATCAGGAGTAGGTGACTTGACCCCCTGAGACAGCTCCATCGTTCAAAAAGGTTATGACTTTCTAATAGTGGTCTTAACTGCCTGACTCCCATAGCTATAGACTCTCTCATAGATCAAAAACCTGTCTCATTCAGTCTTAAGTATATTCAATGATCCGTCCTCCAAAGATTAGGAACCATCTGAGACATGACATTCCTCCTCTTCCATGACTTAAAGGGGAGATCCCTTATATTGGAACTGTCCTTCTAGTTCTAGTTTCCCCCCATGAGGAGAAGCATTGTTTCAGCACCTACCTTGTCAGGCTCTCTCAAACTCTTACATTAATGTTATTGTTTCAATGAGATCACATCTCATTCTTCTAATTTCCAATAAGTATCAGCTGAGCCTGCTTAACCTTTCCTCATAAGACAAGTTTATAACTCCAGGTATCATTCCTATGAACATACACTGATCTGCTTAAAATACTATTATATCTCCTCCTTAAGTAATGATAAATAAACTATAGAGCATACTCTAGATGTTTTCTTATCAATGCCCTACAGTTGTAGTGAGTCTTCCTACTTTTATACATCATCCCCATCACAATAATAGTTAATATTCTATTTTCCTGCTAATTACTTGCTGTACCTGTCATGCTATTGTCTTGTGATTTGTCTAGGCGGAGGCCCAGATTCCTCTGTATTGCAGGATTCTAAGTCTCTCTGTTTAAACAGTAGTCTGTTTTTCTATTTATCTGATCAAAATGGGGATTCTGGCATTTTCTCACATGACATTCCATTTGCCATTTTTCTCTCACATAATTTATATATATTCCTTTGCAGACTCCTTGTGTCCTCCTTATAATTTGCTTTGCTTCCTATTTATACTATCAGCAAATTTGTTTACAATGCAGTTGGTCCCTTCATCCAAGTCAATAAAATACTTAATAAATAGTTGAGGAACCAGCAATGATCCATGTAGCATTCCACAATTTATATTGTCAACCTAAAACTTAGCCATTTATGCTTACACCTTTCTTGAACAAGTGTGTAACCAGATCCCCAGTCCTCCAGCACCATCCCTGTTCCTAAAGAGGATGGAAGGTTTTGACCTGTATCTCAGCAATTTTTAGTCTTATTTCTCTCAATATTCCTAGTATGCATTTGATCTGGTCCTGATGACTTACCAACCTTAACTCAGCCATTTTTTTCTAATACCTTCTCAATTTTTAGCCAACCCAGTATTTCTTATGCCTTCTCTTTACTAGAGTAGGGTTAGTGGAGGATGGGGGCTAAGGTTGAAATCAGAAAAGCAGATGATGGTGAAATGAATAAATGGTTATGATGGTAAGTTTAAATAAGAAATGATGGGAGACATGTTCAAGTAGAGCATAAACACCTGTATGGATAAGTTGGAGCAAATGGCCTGCTTTGATCCGGATGACAGAATCAAAATAATTATTTTTGAGCTTCACACTGAATGTCAGATGACTATTTGGTCAAAGTGGGTATTACCACCAAGTTCAATCCTGTCCTCACCCAGTCTCCACTCATGCACATTGAATAGACATCAGAAATAATAACACTAACTGAGATATGCCCTTCCTAAGCCAAGAATGTTGCAGTAAATCACCAACCTAAAACATGCAAACAAATGTCTAGTGAAACTCACTGCTGCAATTTCCATAGCATTTTGCTAACTGAAAAAAAAAGTTGGCTACATGGAAGGCTGACCAAGTTAATTCAACAAATGCTGTCCTAAGTTTGATTCTCATTCTGTTTTGAATTAACTGACTTCAGCTGGCAGCAGTATGGGCTCTGCAATCTGCCTCAATGTCTTTGGGTCAGGGTTGAGAAAATCAGCTAGTGTTCCTGCTTCTGATTGCTACCTAGTGAGGAGAGAATCAGACTGCATACTGAATAATAGTAACTTAGCTGAGGTACTGGAGAGCAAGCAGTGCCCATGGAATTGTACCTCAGCATGAAGCCTTTGCAATCAGGAAAGAAAGAGGGCAGAAAATTTGCAAGAGAAGGAGAAAAGGGAAGAAATAAGACAACCATTATCTTAAATCTTAACTCCATGCCCTGTATTTACACAAAAAGTACAGAACTTGAGTGCTAGACATTCTTTACTTTCTATACTTGCTAAATAATGAAAAATATAATGAAGATTGTCAGTTAGATAAACAATTGGAGATTTCTTTGCTGTAGACTAAATGTAATTGAATTTGTGTTTTTGAAGTGTTCATGTTTAATGTACAGTTGAAGCTCTAATTTTGGACCATATTTTTATCATGACCAGTACATTAATTCATAATCAGTAAGATGCCAAAGTCAGAATAATTATCCTGAGAATGTAAATTATCAGAAACCTGGATGCTGCGTTGACCCAAAAAAATTTATTATACAATGTTAAAAATGAAAAGAATAATTCAAATGTGTATTACTTTCAATTAACTCATTATACCCACATTCCTCAGATAAATTGTGAAGTGGGTCTGTAAGGGAATGTGCAAGTTTTCAGTAAATGCAACAGGCGTAAAAGATCATCTGGAGACAGCAGATAGAGGGTGATCATGTCAGGAAGTTCATGTGTATTTGATTTTAACTCACTTGATGTCCACTTAAGTTAGTAGAAAGATGATAAAGTGGGCTTTGTTACTTGCTTCAGTTCTCCTCGCCCAGTTTTCTTCTGTGTTGCACTCTAGGAACCCTTATACCCTTGAGCACAATAGGAGGAAAACCATCCTCTACATGTCACTAATGAGGTGAAGTTAAAAAGTGTATCAGATTCTAATGACTGGAGCTTAATGATCACAAAAAAAATGTTTGTCAACTGATACTTGTATTACATTGATATTGTTTATAATAGATTATCTTTAGCCCTATAACAAAGTACGATTCATGTTAAAAATTATTTATGTGAAAAATAACAATGATTAGAAAATTTCAGAAGTGAGAAATTTCTGTCACTTGGCAGAATTCTGACTGCATAATTCCGACCTTTTAATTTATTTCTGACCTCTGCCAGCCCCTCTCTCATTAATCCACTGCCAATCTGGCAGATGCAGGGGTTCTGACCCTGTTCATTGCTGCTCTCATGAACCTGTGTTGGGCCTTCTTTCTAGTGCCACTTCCTGCCATTTCAGTCACTTCTGCAGGCTAAGGAAGGCTGAATTTTCTTACCCAATCTCAAGGCCCAATTAGCAATGGAGCAACTCAGCCTGAATCCAATCGCTGCCTCCTACTTGTCTTCAGACTTCATTCCAGCTCTGGGAGGGTGGAGATTCCAGTCAACCATGGCCTAATCACATCCCGTCCACAGCAGCAATCACTGCCCTGCACCACTTCTAGCTCGG